GTAGTAGTAGTAGTAGTAGTAGTAGTAGTAGTAGTAGTAGTAGTAGTAGTAGTAGTAGTAGTAGTAGTAGTAGTAGTAGTAGTAGTAGTAGTAGTAGTAGTAGTAGTAGTAGTAGTAGTACTAGTAGTAGTAGTAGTAGTAGTAGTAGTAGTAGTAGTAGTAGTAGTAGTAGTAGTAGTAGTAGTAGTGTAGTAGTATTAGTAGTAGTAGTAGTAGTAGTAGTAGTAGTAGTAGTAGTAGTAGTAGTCGTAGTAGTAGTACGTAGTAGTAGCAGTAGTAGTAGTAGTAGTGGTAGCCGTCGTCGTCATAGTAGTAGTAGAACTAGAAATAATAGTAGTAGTAGGAATAGTAGTAGTAGTAATAGTAGTATGGGTAGGAGTACTAGTCTTAGTAGTAGTATGAGTATGAATACTAGTACTAGTATTAGTATTAGTATTAGTATTAGTATGAATGTTCGTATTGGTATTAGTATTAAGAGTATTAGTATTAAAAGCAATATTAGTATTACTCTTAGTATTCGTACTAGTACTAGTACTAGCACTAGTATTAATATTAGTATTAGTATTAGTATTAGTATTAGTATTAGTATTAGTATTAGTATTAGTATTAGTATTAGTATTAGCATTATTAGTAGATGTAATATGTGCATTAGGTTTAGTAGTACTATTCGTATGAGTATGAATAGTATTACTCGTATCAGTATTAGTATTAGTATTGGTATTCGTATTAGTAGTAGTACAAGTATTAGTATTAGTATTACGATTAGTGTTAGTATTAGTATTAGCATGAGTATTGTATTAGTATGACTATTAATATTAGTATTAGTATTAGTATTAGCATTAGCATTAGCATTCGTATTAGCATTACTCTTAATAATAGTAATGTTGATATTAGTATTACTAGTATTACTGGTACGATTAGTATCCTCACTGCTATTAACACTACTAGCATTACGAGTATCAATCTGATGGTTACCGCTATTAATAATAGTATTGATATCAATATTACGAGTCGCATTTCCATCAGTATTATTAGTAGTATGAATATACATATGAGCAGTAGCACAATGATTATAGTAGTAGTACGAGTAGTAGTATGATTGCTGTTATGGTTAATGTCTTCAGTATAAGTGTTAACATTAATAGTCTTGTTAGTATGATTATTACTTTCACTATTATAAATATTATTATGATAACTAGTTTTGATACTGGTAGTATTGGTACTAATATCATTCATATTTTTATTTGTATCATTCCAGAGTAGTAGTACTGGTCGCACTAGTAGTAGTTGCAGATGTGGAAGTACTAGTAGTAGTAGCAGTTGTCGTTGTGGTGGTGGTCGTAGTAGTAGTAGTAATAGTAGTAATAGTAGTAGTTATAGTCGTAGTAGTAATAGTAGTAGTAGTAGTATGAGTATTAATACTAATACTAGTAGTACTCTTAATATTCGCACTAGTACTAGTATTAATATGAATATTAATGTTCGCATTGGTATTAGTATTAATTGTATTAGTATTAGTAGTAGTACAAATATTAATACTAGTGTTAATACTAGTACTAGTACTAGTATTGATACGAGTATGAATGTTAATATTAGTATTAGTATTAATATTAGAATTAGTTTTAGTATCAGAATTAGTATGAGTATTACTATTAGTATGTGTACTAACGTTAGTATTAGTACTAATATCAATAATTTTCGTAGCACTAGTACTACGAATATCAATAATATTCATATTCCTACTACCATTACTATCATTATGCTTATTATATGAGGCGTATGATTCTTATTCATACTATTGATATCCGTATTACGAGTATCATTATCATCCGTATTATTAGTAGTATTACTGATATCCATATCAGTATTAGCATTACTAGTGTGAGTATGATTAGGAGTGTTAGTATGACTGTTGTTATGATTAACGCCTTAATTACTAGTGTTGGTATTAATATTATGATTGTGTGATTATTAATATTACTATTGTTTATATTAGTATGGTTAATAGTAGGAGTAGAAGTATTGGTACTATTACTAGTATTATTATTTCTATTGGTATGATTAGCATTCGCATTCTTACTTGTATTACTATTAATTGTATTAGTATTGCTCGCGCGGGCTAACGCGCGTGGGCCATTTAGGTTAAAGCGCAACGGAGCAACAAGGAGGGCGCCGTGCCCTCAGTGTGTCTGCGAGCGTCTGCTATCATGCTGCGGAGGCCGTGCTGCCAGCAAGGCGTAGAAGGTTGCTAGTTCACTGCGTCGTTGCATATGTTGTCCAGGCCGCTGATCTGCACGGGTGCGCACCTGCCTCGCCGCACCCGACCGATGTGGATTCTGGACGCCTGGTCACTCAAAGATGGGCCACTCCTGACCGTGTTTGGTCCCGTGCTTGCCCGTCCCATGCGCGCGCGTGCTGCTCGTTGTACTTTGCTCGCGCGCGTACTCTCCCTGTGCGTGCCACCTTGTTGTCACCGCCGCTGGTGTCCGCCGCCGACGTCCGATGGCAAGCCACTGGGGCAAGCGCTGCGCGGGCGGTCTGGGGCGTGAGCGAGCGCGGTGGCCAGGCGAGGTGGCTCAATCCCTGCAGGATACGATTTTGCTGCCGTTGTTGAAGGTTTTGGACGTTCTCGCCTTGAGGCGTACTGGCGTCAGAGGCTTCCAGGATCGCGCGGACACGACCCAAGAGGCCTCCGAGAGCGCCCAAAGAGGTACCCGAGGGCTCCCAGACAGCCCCAGAGCCTTCCAAGATGGCCGAGGTTGTTCCCCAGAGGGTTCCAAGAGCGGGCCCAGACGAGCGACCCGAACGGACAGGTCGAGCTCCAGGCGCTGAGACTCCCCTGGAAGCCCAGAGAGGCCTTCAAGAAGCCCTCAAGAGGCCCCCAAGAGGCCCCAAGAGATCCCCAAGAGGCCCAAAGAGAAACCCCAAAAGAGGGCCCACAGGAAGGCAGAAATTAACGATTCCCATATAGTTTTTTAAGGTTTTTGGCGTTCTCGCCTTTGAGTGGTACCGGCAGTCCAAGACAGCCTGAGAGGATCGCCCAACACAGCCCAAGAGGCCTCCGAGAGCGCCCAAAACGGCCCCAGAGGACCCCAAGGCAGCCCCAGAGGCTCCCAAGATGGCCCCAGAGGCTCCCAGACGGCTCCAAGAGCAGACCCAGGCGAGGGACCCGAACGGACAGGTCAAGCTCTAGGCGCAGAGAGGCCCCCTGGAGGCCCCAGGAGGCCCCAAAAAAGCTCCCAACAGGCCCCCGAGGCTCCAAGAGACCACGCAAGAGAGCCCACAGAAGCAGAAATCAGCAAGTTTCTTATAGTTTTTGGACGTTTCTGGTGTTCTTGCCTTGGGAGCGTACCGGTGCTCCAAGACGGCCCAAGAGGCCCCCAGGATCACCCTAACACGGCCCACGAAGCCTCCAACAGCGCTCAAAACAGGGCCCCAAGACAGCCCCAGAGGCTCCCAAGACGGCTCCCAGAGCGGGCCCAGACGAGCGACCCGAACGGACAGGTCGAGCTCTAGGCGGAGAGGTCCCCTGGAAGCCCGAAGAGGCCTTCAAGAAGCTCCCAAGAGGCCCCCGAGAGGCCCCAAGAGACCCCCTAAGAGGATCCCAAGAGGCCCCCGTGACGCCCAAGGTGGTCCCAGAAATACTGGCAAGAGGCCCCCGAGAGGCATCCGATCGTCTCACCAACCCTTCCTTCTTTCTTCCCTCTCCTCCTTCTCCCTCCTCTGCGTCAACGACCCTCAATCTGCGAACGAAAAGCGCTACAATAAGTCATCAAGAAAAAGGAATCGAAAGGCCTCATCCTCCTCCTCCTCCCTCCTCCTCCTCCTCTTCCTCCTCCTCCTCCTCCTCTCCTCCTCCTGCTCCTCCTCCTCCTCCTCCTCCTCCTCCTCCTCCTCCTCCTCCTCCTCCTCCTCCTCCTCCTCCGTCTTCTTCTCTTCCCCTCTTCCCCCTCCTCCCCCTCCCCAGTCTGCCTCAACGAACCTCAATCCTCGAACGAAGAGCGCTACGGCTCAAAGAGCGGGCCCAGACGGGGGACCCGAACGGACATCTCGAGCTCTAGGCGAAGAGAGATCCCCTGGAGGCTCCAAGAGGGCCCCGAGAGGCCCCCAAGAGGGGTCCCCCAAGAGCCCAAGAAGCCCCCAAGAGGCCCCCGAGAGGAACCTAAGAGGCCCCTGTGACGCCTCAGAGGATCTCAGAAATACCATACCGCCAAGAAAGCCAAAAAGAGGCTCCAAGAGGCCCCCAAACGGCCTCCAAGGCAAGCGCCTGCGATGACACAAAACGGGCCGGCGGAGTGAGCGAAGCGATTCATAAGGAAAACCTCGTGTCGTGAGGCTTTCGTGGCCCGAGGGGACTTGAGTCGAGAGCGACGCCAGGGAGGGGCTCCGGCGCCGACACGAGACCCGCGCGGACCTCCGAGAACGTACTCTGGGTTTCTTAACAAGCGCGGGGGGTACCCCCCCGACGGGGGTCAACCTCGCCTCGCCGTCGCGCCGCGACGGGGAGCGGAGCGCCTTCGGCGCGCGGTGGCTGCCCGCGACGGTGATCGATGTGGGGCTGTCGGCGAGGGTGACGCCCCCCCGACGCGTATGAAGAAACTCGGAGCGTTCTCACGCCACGGGCCTCGCACCTCCAAGGGCACCGACGCGCAGGAACACCCGCGCGGACCTCCCGGAGCGCAGGCTCACGCCGCGGGGCCTCGGCCCTCCGAGGGCACCCCCGCGCGGACCTCCCGGAGCGCGTGCTCACGCCACGGCGATGTCGGGCGTGTCCCCCTACAGGGGGATTGTCGACGAGAAAAAAAAAAAACTATAAAAATACCCCAGAGAGGTCAACAAATACTTAAAAAAAAAACCCTGACTATTCTTGGACTTTTTTGGGGGACTATGCTGGTGGTATTTCATATTTTTTCCGTCGGAAATCCCCCTGTATGGTGGACAGGCCCGACTTAACGCCACGGGCCGCGCACCTCCAGGCGCACCCATGTGGGCCCCCTCGCCTCCAAGGCGCCTCCGCGGCGGGCCGCCGCGCGGCCACGCAGCCAGGGCGGCCAGGCGGTGGCCGCCGGCGACGTACCTTCGGCGGCCACCGCGGCGCCTCTGGGGCGTCGGGCGGACCCTCCACGAGCGTCGACTCCCAGGAGGAGGAGGGCGGAGGAGGAGGGCGGAGGAGGAGGAGGAGGAGGAGGAGGAGGACGAGGAGGAGGAGGAGGAGGACGAGGAGGAGGAGGAGGAGGAGGCGCGGTGGGCGTTCCATTTGTTGTTGCTTCTCTTCGCCCTGCTTCGGCGGCCTCCACGCCCATCACAGATCGATCCGGCTCGAGACCTGCGGGAGGCAGAGGGTGTCCAAGGGCTCTGGTGGCGATTCCCCGCGACTTTGCATGTTTTGTCAGAAGCGACGATAGGGGCGAGTAGCCCACGGGCGGGCATGACACGCATTCGCCGGGGAGCCTTTCTCGAAGGCGTAGATCATCGGCGCACCTGGATACCCAGACTCCCGACGTCATGATTTTTTCACAACGTCGACCCCCAAGAAGATCTCGACCCATTCCCTGGGACCGGTTTCTCATCCTGACTCGTTTTCGGACGGTCACGAGGCCCGGCGAGGTCCCCCAAATGCCGAGAATGGCGGAAAACCTCGCGTCCGGATTCTTCCATCACCCCTGGGGGTCTGGGTACGTGTCTTGCTCTCTCCTGGGCTTATCGCCCCTCTCGTCGCCCCTGACATTTTGTCCCCCTGGAAGGCTCGCCCCCCAGAGATCCGACGTCGTGATTTTTTCATTGCGGGGTCCCCAGAAGTCTCGACCCATTCCCCGGGACCGGTTTCTCATCCTGAGTCGTTCTCTGACGGCCCCGGGGCCCGGCGAGGGCCCCTCGAGGCCGAAAAAAACGAAAAACCTCCGTCTTGATTTTTTCAATGCGTTGGATCTCTCGCCCCCCGGCGCCTGCGGCGGGCCGCCTGCGGGCCAGACCGCCTGCGGCGGGCCGGCGGCGGCGGGCGCGCGGGCGGGGCCCCGTCGGCGCGGCCCCGCGCCCCCGCCGCGGCAAAGGCGCGCGGCCTGCGGCCAGGCGCGCGCCGGAGGGGAAAAACAAACAAACCAACAAACAAACAAAAAAAAAAAATCTCCGACGACGCGATGCCTCCCCAGACAGGGTCGCGCCCTCAAAAATGCAGGGCGGAGGTTTCTCGTCGTTTTCGGCCTCTGGAAGGCCTCGCCGGGCCCCCGGACCGTCCAAAAACAACTCGGGACGAAAGACTGGCCCCGGGGAAAGGGTCGGGACTTCCGGGGGCGCCGGCCTGGAAAAATCAGGACGCCGCACGTCTGGGCACGCCACCACTGCGTCGATGCCTCCTCCCTCCACTACCCTCTCCTTCCCCTCGTCTCTCCCTGGGGGAGGGAGGGGAGGACCCAGACCCCCGACGTAATGTTTTTTTCATTACGTCGACCCCCAGAGGTCCCGACCCTTTCCCCATGACCGGCTTTGCATCCTGAGTCGTTTTTTGACGCTCCCGAGGCCCGGCGAGGGCCGCCGGAGGCCGAAAATTAGGAAAAACCTCCCGTCATGATTTTTTCATTACTCGAGGGGGTCTGGGGAGGGAGGGAGGTGGTGGCGTATGTGCTTGGGCCCCCCACTCGGTCCAATCGGGCAGCAAGGGGGCGAGAGCGGCCGGAGGGGTGCGAGCAGGGGCCGGGCAGCGGAGGGCGAGGGGCGCGCAGGGGCAGCAGGCGGGCGAGGAGGGGAGCGAGGCGGGGGGGGCGCAGGGCGACGGGCGCGGCGCGGTCGTCGGAGCGCTCGGGCCGTGGCGAAGGTGGACCCGGCCGTGGCGACGGAGGCGCCCTGCGCAAAGCGAGGCACAGGCGCACGGAGAGGCACGGGGACGTCTCGGGCTGCCCACCCGACTCCTCCATCGGCGACGGAGCAGGCGGAGGGCGAGGGGAAGGAGAGCGCGGCCACTCAGGACGGCCCCAGAAGGCGCGTGCGTCGAGGATCGTCGTGGTGCGGGCGCGCGTCGTGGGAGCTGGTCGTCGTGGGTGGTGCTCGTGGCGGTTGGCAGTTTTGCGTCGCTGGCCTTGCTGCGTCCTCGGCCTCCTCAGCCACCTCCGTCTCGATTTCGGCCCCGCGGGGCCGCCACCAGGCAGGGAAACGAATCCGGGGAAGTGGTCGGGGCCTCGTGGGGTGGCGCCAGAATCTCGCCAGCGCTCGGACGTCCATTCCCCGTGCCTTCGTCGATTTCGCGCGTGCCTCTCCGCGCGATGATCCCAGGTGCTTCTCGATGGTCCTCGCCGAAGAAGAAGAGCAAGAACCGACCACAACGATGTTTAAAACGAAATATCGCGTGCAACGAACAACGAATCGAGGCCCAACGTTCAAAACGAACGCTTAAACGAAGCCGGTGCCAAACGAAAACGAACGACGAAACAAGGCGTTCAAAACAACAACGAACAACGAAACGAAACAACAACAAAGAACGAAACGAAAAACACAGCAAGGGCCCAAACCAAGCTAAACAGCGTTGTGGTCGGTCCTTGAAGACACGCACACGTCCGAGCGATACCGAGGAATGGGAAAACCCGATCGCCGGAGGCACGGGCCCGCAGCGCACGAGCGGAGGAGAAGCAAGCAGGCGCAGGGGGGGCGGGACGGCCAAACGCAGGGGGCAGCGGCTGCGCCAGCGGGAGAGGGGGCGGGGGCGAGCAGCTCACCGCGGCGGAAGCGGCTGGGCGTGGCAGGGGACCAACAGGGAAAAAAAACTGCCACGTGGCCAGCAGGGCTTCTGTGGGCCGCACAGAGACATACTAGTACTAGATGTCCTCCTTGGAGGCGCGCGTCCGAACCGAACATGTAGTATGTCCATCTTGTTGTAGTATATCGATTCCCGAGCGGTGTGGCCAGAAAGCGCCCGCCACGACGCTTGTACTATAATATTTCTCGGTGCGCGCATCGCCCCCGGGGGGGCGACGCACGTATAGTATAAGTATGTTGGGGTGACGCCGATTCTGCATCCCCCTGGGAGTGGTGGCAGGGCCGCGGGAGGAGGAGGAGGAGGAGGAGGAGGAGGAGCAGGAGCAGGAGCAGGAGCAGGAGCAGGAGCAGGAGGAGGAGGAGCAGGAACAGGAGCAGGAGCAGGAGGAGGAATGCGAGGACGAGAAGGAGGAGGAGGAGGAGGAGGAGGAGGAGGAGCAGCAGGAGGAGGAGGAGGAAGAGGAGGAAGAGGAGGAAGAGGAGGAGGAGGAGGAGGAGGAGGAGGAGGAGGAGGAGGAGGATAGGAGGAGAAGGAGAAAGAGGAGGAGGAGGCGGAGCAGTGGGAGCGGTTCCCCGCTGAGGCTGCCAGTGCCGGCCCCGCGGTGCGCGGCGCTGCTGCAGCGGGGCGTGGCGTGGGCGCCCCTCGCTCCCCGGGGAGCTCTGCTGGCACACGCCCCCCCCGTGCTGCAACTTGCTGCTGGCACCTGCGCGCCCCAGCGAGGACAACGCATCCTTGCACTTGCGGCTGCCTCCGCCGTCGAGCGCAAGCCCGAAGGGTGGCCCTCCGCTGACCGCGCGGCAGCCGCTGCACGCGGCAGAGGCTGGGACTGTCCAAAGGCGGGTGGGTCTCGCTCTTGCCCAACATGAAGGCGCAATCTTCGCATCGCTTGAACGGGAAACGCGTCCAACTCGCGCGTGCAATCGTTGTGCGTGCTCAAAACTGTTGTCGCGTGCTGGCATCCACCTCCGGCGTCTCCCCAGGCTTGGCGGAGCCCGCCTGGGGCTGCGCCGGAGGCCCGGGCCAGGGGGTCCAGCGCCGATTCTGGAGATCTGCGCGGACCTCCGCCAGCTGATGTTTACGCCGACGCTCGTGCCACGACCTCTGACGGCATCTGCGTGCCGCGGTGCACTGCCAACGGAAGGCCCCACGCGTCGTGGTCGGAGCTGCTGGCCGACGAGGACGGGATACCGAGCGGCAAGGAGTGGAGGCTTGGCAAGGGGCACCAACCCCAGCACTGAGGGCTACCTCCGCCAGGTGAAGGTGCCCCTAGATCTTGGTGCTGGTGGTAATCTCTCGGCCACCTTGGAGGCCCAACCATTCCCATCAGCACCGAGATCGGGATCATCCTCCCTCGGTGGAGGCACCTCGCCGATATACGTCGGTCGGAAGAAGTAGGTTCGGGGAGACGTAGGACTCGGGTACGGGGGAAGTGGGTTGGCCTGACGGGGTCCATCATAAAAATGACGAGACGCAATCTGAAATTTGACGCGAGCTCCCACTGCAAACATCCACGAAAACTGGGCCGTCAAAATCCAGGACGCGCCCGTCAGAAAACGTCGGCAAACCCGAGTTCCGGCCTACCCGAGTCTTACGTTCCCCCGATAGGTAGAAGCAGAAGCTAGGAAGGCACCAACTATACACCAACACCGATCCTGGCCAGGATCACCCTGGGCCCAGGATCGGTGTATACGCCCTCCTGCCTTGCGCAAGAAGGCATATACACCGATCCTGGGCCCAGGGTGATCCTGGGCCAGGATCGGTGTTGGTGTATAGTTGGTGCCCTCCGAGAAGCAGGAAGGCGACATGAAGCAGGCTTGGTGTGGGTGCCAACCTCCGCGCCTCCGACGGGGGCCGAAGCTTGTCCAGGGCACGGGCCCCGACCGCGGGCCGAAAACCGGCGCGGGAGCGCTCCGCCGCGCGGCACCGGGCTTTTTTCTCTCTGCCGCTGACATTAGGTCGGGCCTGTCCCCCTACAGGGAGATTTTGGACGAAAAATACTCCAGAGAAGCCCAAAAATATTCCAAAGATGCCCAAAGATACTCCAGATTTCGTAACAAAGGGAGGGGGGTCTCTCATTTCGGGGGGGGTCTTTTCCAAGCTGTCTTGGAGGGCCTGGGGGGGTCTGGGGACGATGTTTTGGAGGGTTCTCCCACGGGGGAGGTCTGAAACGGCTTGTCTTGGAGGGTCCAGACCCCCTCCCTTTTATTACGAAATCTGGAGTAGTCAAAAAATAATCCCCAGGCTATTTTTGGGGGCTAGTTTTGAGTATTCCCCCTGTAGAGGGACAGGCCCGACTTAACACTGACAGCGGGATGCAAACGAATGCGGCCTGCCGTCGATGCACTGGCCAGCGCCATCACCGAGCTGGAGACAACCTGGGGACAAACCAACCCAACAACAACAAGGCACAAAAGAAACGTGCACGGCCGGAACTGACAGCGGGATGCAAACGAATGCGGCCTGCCGTCGATGCCGCACTGGCCAGCGCCGTAACTGAGCCGAAGACGACCTAGGGACAAACCAACCCGACAACAAGGCAGCACAAAAAGAAACGTGCACAGCCGAAAATGCTCCATCGCACCGTGAAGCACCATCTGGAAATTGTGGTTCGCCGGCCCTATCAGCGAGCGGGCACGTGCGTGATCCAAAGAGTTGCACCACGGATCAAAGAGCACACAGCAGGACCAACAGTACGGCGAGGCATTGAGCTCTGCACCCACGCGCGCACCATCAAAACGACAACGACGACGACGACGACGACGACGACGACGACGACGACGACGACGACGACGACGACGACGACGACGACGGCGACGACGACGACGACGACGACGACGACGACGAGGGGGCGCAGACCTCCCGTTGAGCCCCAGCGCCCCACCGCCCCACGGTCGGCGGGGCGCTGGGGCCTCCGCGCCATTCCCCTCGCGCCACCGCTCGGGCGTCCCACCCCCCGCGCGCGCGTTACGATGCCGCGCGCGTCGATTTGTTCGCGGGGTGCTCCAAGGTCCAAGGTGCTCCTCGAGGGCCCTCGCCGAGAAAAAAAGTGCACGCGTCCGACCGACGCCGAGCGTCAGCACGATCGATTTGGCAATCTGGCATCGCTCGGACATCCACTCCCCGTGCATTTCTCGATGTCGTGCTCCGAGGTGCTCCTCGGCGACCCTCGCAGAGAGAAAGGAAACAAAAAACAAAACAAAAACAAAACAACAACAAACAATAACAAAAAAAACAAAAAA